TCGGGAGCCCGTGGATAGTGCGGGGCCGAGTGCTCCGGAAGCCCACCGCTGTCGCCCATGCCGGGGGCTGGCGGGGCAGAGCCCGGGCCCCGGCTTAGGCAGCCTCGTTGGAGGTCATTGTCTCCCGCCGACTCCCCCACCTCCTCCACGCCCTGCCCCCTGCGCTTCGGCCTCCCGGAGCCTGCCTGGAGCATGCCCGCCCCAGGCGCGGGATCGGGGACCCCCGCGAACCCCCAGCGTGGGCCCCTGTCGCCTGCCTCTCCCCGATCCCCGGGCCGCGCGACTTCAAACGCGGCTTCCTTGCCTCCCAGACCTGTCCCCGCCACTGAGCATGCCCAGTCCTGCCCGCCACCGCCACTGACGAGTTTCAACATGGGGAATGAAGTTCTTTTGGGTTTGCAAAGAGGAGATGGGCGGGTTGGGCTTTGTATGGCTGGGCGAGCCTAGAGTGAACTGGGCTAGGCAGACCCTAGAGATGCGAGTAGCTTCGGAAGGAATGTGGGAGGAAGGCAAATAGCTGCAGAGGTCGGGTTTGCTAATCTTGTCCCCAGGGGACTAGATACCTTTGCAAGGTCACCCACACTGCCCGCCAGCGCCCTCCCTTTCCCCCACTTTGTTAGTGTGTGTGTTTGGATAAGTGACCAAACTACTCAGAGAACGATTATTTATAGAAAGGTAGGCAGAGGGAGGAGAGTGAAATTTCTTGGCTGGCACACACACACAAATACCATGTGGTCTCCGGTTGTATTTTGCAGAGAAGAAACCTAGGAGTACAGTGTAAGGACAGTGAAGGACAAAAGTCTAGGCAGGACTCACCATGGCTAGAAGAGTCCAAGTAAAGGGACGCAATCTCAAGCTATAAAAAGTATTTTCCTCATTCAGAAAGAACTTAGAGGCAATGTCATGTTATTTATAGAGTAAGCATTGCCTGCTTTAAGAAGGGGAGGCACCATCATATAGTGATCAACACTATGAGGTTAGAAGTCAGCCCTGGGTTCAAATTCCAACTTAGCCATCTAGCAAATCAGAGACCTTCACGGCTCTAGTGAACAGGCCTTGCGATAAGAAACAGGACTGAGAATGCTCCATAAGCAGTGGACAGAACTCTGGAGGTGCGCTGGGAATCAAGTCGTAGACATGGGGATGTGGTACTGAAGTACAACTTTAAAACCACCATGAACAAAGCAGGAAGAGGGGAGAGCTAATGCTGAGAAGGCCTGGTCTTCTCATCAGAGCGAGAGGGAGGGAGGGAGAGAGAGAGAGAAAGAGGGAGAGAGAGAGAGAGGTGAGCAAGTACCCTCCCTGGGGTGGAGGAATGGCCACTCCACAGTCCTTTCTCTGGGGATTCTGGGCACTCATGCGCAAGGACCTGGCATGACTTTCAAGTGCCAGGGTCCAGGACTCCAACTGTGCAGGGGGCCATGTGGCATTCCTTAGCCTCTAGGGCACCTACTGGCTCCCCAATATCCATTTTTAAGGGCAAAGTTATGGGTAGAAAGCTCCTTGGCAAAGAAGTAATGCCCTGCTCATGAGAATCTGGATCCCATATGGCAACTACAGTCCAAGTTCTCAGTCCGTCAATCTGCAACACCCTGGGCGTGTATGTGAGGGCCTGAGATCCCATGGGCTGCATGACAGAAGGAAGGGGATGTGGCGTGAGCAGACCCTATCCAAGGGGCCCCTCTCTCCTCTTTCTGTCGCATACATGCACACGTTTTATCATGAATAAAGAAAAAAATTAAAATGAAGAGCAGGAGGTCTCAGGGGATCAGCAGGTGGTGTGGTGGTTAAAGCACTGGACTCCGACATGGCCGTGGTTTGAGTCCTGGACCTGGCAGTTTGCTTTCTCTTTTCCTCTCTGTCTCTGGTGAATGTACATATCCTATAGCAAACTTTTAAAAAATAGTAATCATAATAAATAAGAAAATTTAAAAATAAAAAAAAGAGTAGGGGTTTTAGATTCAGGATTAGCTCAATGATTTTGTTCAAGAGGGCATAACCATCTTTTGAGTTTTCTGGACTAGAGGGGCCTTAGTAATCAATTGCTATTCTGGTAGGGGACAATCATTAGGTTTCTGTCACCATTCAGTTTGGGGTCTAAGAGCTCCCACCTAGTAATTTGTCCTGCAAAACATCTTAATAATTTAATAAGGGGCCAGCAGTGTAGTGTTCACATCGCTGAAGTCCCACATGGTCAACTATGGTTTGAGTCCCAGACCTGGTGGCTTCAAAAGTCATGCTGGAAGCATGTGTGTGTGCCCAAGATCCTGGGATGAGAATGGAGGACAAGGGACTGCGGTAGGGCCATGCCTCCCTGGAGAGTGATTTCTCACTCTCTCTCTCACTGTCTCTGCCTGTCTCTCTCTGTCTGGTGAGTGCACACACCCTGACGCAAAAACCTCTTTTAAAAAAATAAAAGAATAGGGACCAGCAGCTGGTGTAATGGTTATATTGCTAGACTCTCACGCAGTCAACCGCAGTTTGAATCCTAGACCCAGCGGTTTAAAATTCACGCTGGGTGCATGTGTGTGCATGCCCAAAATCCTGAGAGGAGAACAGAGGACAAGGGACTGTGTCATGGTTATCCCCTCTGGGAGGTGATTTCTTGCTTTCTGTGTCTCTGTCCTTCTGTGAGTCCATGCATCCTATAGCAAAAATCTCCCTTAAAAAAAAAAATAAAAAGAATTTAAGTTAAAGTCTTATCTCTTCCTTCAAGTGGAAGCATTAGACGCTTATGTCCCTGATTTATGGCCAATGTTACTTTACCAAAAATATTCCCTGCAGCTAAAAATGCAGAGCAGTTGCTCTTTGAGAAGAACTGAGAGTTGTTCATTAGAATAACACAGATTAAATTATGTGCCATAGTGCCGGAGAAAAGGGGTGATGGGCCACATGGTAAATTCCTTACTGTTTGATTTGCTACCAGAGTCTGGAGTCTCAAGCATTAGTTGGGCCATTCAAATTTAAATGGACCTCATATTTCACACAACTTGGAAAGACTTTGAGTTCAGCTCTTAATATTTTCAGTTTGGGGACTATTCAATCTTTTTTTTGGTCAATGGAGGGGAAACTAAGAGCCCAGTCCTTTTAGCAGGCCCCTACTTAGTTTCAGCATGACAAATTTAGATGGTGAGAAATTTCCCAAAGTTATATAATCCCTGGAGGTCTCAGCTTTCATGCCTTAAAGGCTGCTGTGAGAAAATTTACTTAAAAGTACCTGGTATAATTCTGACGCAGTAAATGCTCAAAAGAGGCCGTTATTATCCTTATTACACTGTGATTATTAGCAGTTCACTGTTCCTTTCAAGTGAGGGGAACAAACCATGCTTGCAGCCATATTTACTGGGTGATTTATTGTGTATGATGTTCTCTATTGTTTGTGTTTAATCTATAGAGGAGCTGGGCTGACAGGTGCTGTTTGGCACTGGGTTACTGAGCCCCTGGACCACAGTACATTCAGTAGTGTATGGGGCTGGCACTTTGAAATGGCAGTTTCTTCTAGCAAAGTCTTACCTAAAAATAGAGCTTTAGAACCATAGGAGTCACTTAAAGCTCTGATCTATTCACTAGTTTTATTAAGATGAAGAAACTGGGACCAGTCCTGGAGCCAAGTGGTTAAGGCAGCTGGAACCCACACGGCTGACCACTGTTTGAATCTCTGCCTCAGGAGGATTGAAAAGCATGCTGGGCATATGTGCATGTGTGTCCAAAATCCTGATGTGTTAGAGAAATGGAGAAAGGATTGCTGCATGACCGTGCCCCACTGGGAAGTGATGTCTCTGTCTCTCTTTGGCAAATGCATATACTCTCTGGTAATTAAAAAAAAAAAGTTTAAGATAAAGAAACTGAGCCATTATAAGATGGCTCATGTTAAAAGCAAAGCAAAAACTGGACCCTAAATCTCAACTCTCTCTGCCTCCCTGACTTTATCATACTATTTGAAAAGAAAAAGATCTAGATGATCTGGCTTGTAGGAGCAAAGGAAATCTCCCTCTTCCTCTTAAAGGTTCTGCTGAAATTAACTGAGAGGAGACAGATTAATAAGGGACAGTGGGGCCACCTCTGCAACCTGTTGGCTAAGGCAGCCAGATCCCATGCAGCCAACTGTGTGATTTGAGCCCTGGACTCAGTGGCTTGAGAAACATGCAGGGTGAATATACATGTGTGCTCAAAACCCCCAAAGGAGAGGAAAGCATTGCTATGTGACCATTCCTCATAGGGGGTGCTTTCTCCTCCTCCTGGCTCTCTGGCAAATTCTCCCACCCTCAATACTCCCCCTGCCCAAGGAAGAGAAAAGGCATACAGATTTACTTTAATGTATGTGAATATCGGGATGAGCCAGATGACTATGGCATAAATGCCCACTCATAGGAGAGAGGAAAATGAAGACGGGAGGGAAATACATGGGCTCAATGATCAGACAATGGTTAGTAAACGATTCTCTTCCGAAGCCGAATAAGACCCAGGAGTTCCACTAGGAATAATGCACTGACCAGTGTCTTAACGTTGGGCCCATTTCTCCCCCTAAAAATCACTTACTCTAAAATTGCATGTATCTCCCAATTTCTTTCCTCCTATGAAAAGGTATTTAAGCCTCAACCATCTGGTTTCTCCTTAAGTTCATATTTTACATAGTTCTGGGGCACACATGTGCATGTTAATAAACTTTCTATGCCTTTTCTCTTATTAATCTTCCTATTGTCTGCTGATCTTCAGTAAATCTGCACAGGGGAAGGGAAAATTCCTCCACCTATGCAGTGCCCAGCATGTCATTAAGTACTATGTAGAAATTAGATATCATTATTGGATTGACTGTCTCCACCTAAGGAAGTTCCATTAGGGTGATGACTCTGATTCATCACTCTCTTCCTAGGAAGTTCGCAGTAATTACTTGTGACTGAATAAATGACTAGTGATATTTCACCCAGGGCCCCTCTCACTTTCTACAGTAAATTTGTTAAGAAACAAAGAAACAAACAAACAACGACAAACAAATAATTCTTAGATATCCAAATGCATTGTTCTCAAATATCTCACATAATTGAGCTGAGTAGAATAGGGTGCAACTTACATCAGAGATGCAAATAAAACTAACATTGCAATGCCTCCAAGGACA